CTCCTGCAGCCGCTCGCGCAGTTTGCCCACCTGCAGCGGAGAGAGGGGGTCGGGGGCACGGGTAAGGGCAGAGGCACGGGTAAGGGCAGGGCAGGGTCCAGGGCAGGGGCAGGGCTGAGGAGCCAGCCAGGCCCGTGGAAAACCTCCCCACATACCTTTGTGCCTACCATCCCTGAGACCCTCCCCGTCCCCACACTCCAATTCCCCCGCAGCCACGCCCTTGGTCTGACCCTCATCAGCCCCACCCAGACTCCTTCCTGCTCTTTCCGGAGCTGTTCCCTAGAGGTGGGAAACAGCTGCAGACGCTGGAGAGGACCGAGAACCTCCTTCCATTCAGAGGTTTACAAGGAAGGACCATTTAGCGGTCATGAACCTTGCCCAGCTGGCAGACATCCTCTCTCTCACTAACGCTGAACAAATCTTAAACCAGAAAGAAATCTGCAGGGCCCATGACTGGGCCTGAGCTAGAGAAGACAGGCAGGTGGAGGTAGAGAGGGGAGAGGGAGGGGGAGGGGGAGGAGGAAGAGGAGGAGAGGCTCTCTTTTGCCACAAGGCATCTGAGGCCTAGAGACGCTCTGCTGACCTGCCTGGGCGAGGGGCTGCCAAGGGGCAGAACCTGGCTTCACCCCAGGCCCCTGGCCCAGAGCTGGTGTCCCCCACATGCCAGGCCACCAACCCCGCCTGCATGTATTTGTGGGATCAGCACACAATTAGAAACATTACTTGTAAAACGTGCCCAGGGCGCGTTCTCCTAATACACTCCAAAGGCTCTATCTGGCCTTTTCAGGTCAAATCCCGCAGGAACCCTCCACGGTCCCTCTGTTTTCTAGATAACACGGCCTCCCCAGCACCGGAACAGTGGTCTCCCGGATCCGCTGCCTCCAGGGAAAGGCAGCCGCGCCCCCAGACCACGCTGCCTGGCGCACACCGGTCCCTGAAACTCAGCGCAGGTGAGGAGCCAGGATGTCAGCTGACTTACAACGAGCAGCAGGGAAAGAAGCTCATACAGCCAACCAGGCAAAGAGAGGTCACCATCCCTCACGTCACAGTCAGGATCACAGAGACGAGGGAGGGCCAGCCCGGCCCACCTCGCCCGAGGGCTGGAATCGGCCTTTCCCGAGGAACGGAGAGCCAGGCTGCAGGGCTTCACTGAACACGATTTCTCAGGGAGGAACCCGGAGCTCCCGGCAGCCTCCTCTCTAGGAGGCAACATGGTCCTGGTCTTGGAGTTGAGGTTGCCAGTGATTTGGAGTGAGAAGGAGGGGATTGCGCTGCACCCCGAATCGGCACCGATCTGTGGATTTCCCTCGGCCAATGACGGAACCTGGGACGGTTCCCATAACGTGTCACTCAGCAGGGCTGTGCAAACACCAGGCTAACTGTTGTGGTGAAGGTATTTCTTAGGCTGACTGACATCTAAGTCAGCAGACCATGAGAAAGGGGATCGCCCTGGGGGGGGGGGGGGAAAGGGGGGGGGGGGGGCAGCGCCCAGTCAGGTGAAGGTCTAAGAGGAAAGACTGAAGCCCCAGGGAGGCGGCATCAACCTCCTGCAGCCCCTGGACTCAGGGTGGCAAGGGCAGCTCCCGTTGGAATCTCCAGCTGCCGGCCCTGCACGTTCCAGACGTGTCCGCCTCCACAGGCGCGAGACAACCTCCGAAAAATCCCTCTCCCTCCCCGCTCCCCGCCCCGTGCATGTATGTGTGTGTACGTGTGTTTATATGTAAAATCTCGTGCTGGTTCTGTTTCTCTCTGAAGAACCCTGAGTGTCCAACCTCCCTCCGCTTCCCGGTCGTCTCCTGGGAAACAGGGCGGCCACAGCGGCCGTGAGGACTGCTGGGAGGGGGAAGCGTGGGCACAGGTGGGAAGGAGGCAGATGCGGACAGGGTGGCAGCGGTGTGTGCAGGGCAGCCTGGGAGAGGCTGGGCGGCCAGCGGGGGTGGGCCAGGTGGCCTGGGTGAGCAGGTGAGGGGAGTCCCGGGCAGGGAAGGTGGCCCGGGTGAGCAGGTGAGGGGAGTCCCGGGCAGAGAGAGTTAGGTAGCTGGTCCGAGGTCACAGGAAGGGGGGAGGGGGGTGCTGGGATTCGCACCCAGGCGGTGTCTAGACCTCCACTGATGCTAGCCTTAGATGGGTGGAGTGCCCACCCCACCCAGCCCGGAACACGCCCTCCAGACACACCCCGGGGGCAGCACTGTCCCCGGAATTCACAGCCGCCCCTCGCTGCATGGAGGCGCCTGCCCACCTTGCTCTTCTCCTGCTGGAACTCGATCTGAATGCTGGTCAGCTTGGCCCGCAGCTCCTCATTGGCCACCTGCACCGCGTCCGCCTCCATCTCGGGCTTGTCGCCCTTGCTCCGGCCCTTCTTAGACATGCTTCCTCCCAGGGAGACGCTGAGAGTCCACGCTCACGCCCACCAGCCCGCAGGCGGGCCCACCAGTCGCGCAGGACTCAGCTCGCCCTCCGTGGAAACCACCATCACTTGGGACCCTGGGGAGCAGGAAAGCCGGGTTAGAAGAGCGAAAGCCGGGCCTGGGCCACGCACACGCAAATGCAGCAGGTTTGCGGAGGCCGCCTCCTGGGCCAG